TATATATATATATATATATAGAGAGAGAGAGAGAGAGAGAGAGAGAAACGGGTTAAACTTTAACAAACAGAAGTTCATAAGAACAACTCACATCTGCCCACTTATCGCGTTCCAACGAGGTTAAAGACCCGACACAATCCTCCGATGCCAGACTTTTTTGGTGAGATAATATGAAAGATAAACAAGCATAAATTTGATCGGCAGGAACAATAGTTCCTATAAAGAAAACATACCAACTGTACTACATCAGGAGAAGAACTAATATTTTTACTATCATTTTAAAACAATAAACATTATATATGCAATCATACCGCCTCTATCAAATAGATCAATAGCATAAATTCGACCATCATGCAGAACAATGAAATGTCGAGAATCCTTACAATGAAAGAGCCAATCTTTCCCTTTCTGCGGTATACGAGAGCAACCAAAAAGTGATCTGTACTGGCTCATGTCAAGCGGAAATGCACCGAAAACAGCTGCACCGTACCACCGTAAATTTTGCGGTAGGTGCCTCAAATACAACACAGAGATTCATTATAAGATTTTCCATCACAAAATAATTTTTTGGCTAATTTTGGAATTCCATGAAAAAAACTGCCAATAATATGACAACATAAAAAATAATCAAGAAAGAACTTACGTTACCAATCATTGGTAACGTAAGTTACAATTTTTTACAATCATTACGTTACAATTTTTTACAATCATTACGTCATTACGTTACAATCATTACGTTACAATTTTTTCAAGACTGAAAAAAAAAGGACAAACTTGCAAACCCATTTGAATGATGCAGAGGCCTCCGTTTTTGGGTTCATGTAGAATATTTCAGGCTTTAAACATTCCGCATCTAGCGCACGCTTAAAACGACCAAATGAGGCAATCAAATTCGTCGCGCGAATAAGCTAAATGATGAATCAATGATGAATCCAAGTTCCACACTCCAAAAAACAGATATTATTAAATGAATAATAATTAATAGCAAACTATATACTCAAAATTAAAAGCTGTTTCATCCTTATAATAATTAAGAAATCAGGTTCACTGAGTGACTTACGGTAAAGATAACCAAATTTGGTACCAATCAGCACTCAAATTTCATAAATTCACAGAAAATATAATAAACTAAAATAACTCACTTGGGCATTATAAGCTGGATCTGGATCTGGAGGATAAGTTATAAAAGGATTAGAATTGACTGGACATGGAAGCCGGTTACACAGATAAGTGTCGAACCATGGTTCTGATATATAACTTCTATGCTGGTTCCGTCTATCATGCAAAATAAGTTCCCGTTGCAATGCTAAAAAAACAATCGAAAACTGAATATATATATTAGAAACTTTATATATATATATTAGAAAATAACTGGAGATATTTGTTTAATACGCTTACCTGGACCTTCGCATGCCAAAAAATTTGCAGCTAATTTTTTCAGCGAATGTAATTCTTCGGCTTGAAGAACAGCCTCTGCAGCTCTCAACAATCTACAACTACACATTCTATCACAAATTCTTAAGCATAAACTTCAACCACAATTAAGTACCACCAAGCCATAAACGTCACAAATAGAAACATAAAAATACCTGTGACAAGTAAGCGGAAGCTTTGGGATTGGCAACCTTCGAAGACTCTTTTGAAAGTGATAAGTGGGTAAATCACTTCTATGAATATACTGATAGTCATCATGCGATAGATTTCGTTTGCTTAAGTTTATGAGTAAATAATCCTACTAGAGTTGTATTTTGCAGTAGCTTTACTACTACTATTATTCTTCTGATACAATGGCAGAACTTTACTGCTCTAATGAATAATCAACTATAAATAACATAACGGTTGAAAACCTATAATTTCTGATCGCAATTTCAACGATTTCTGACCGCAACTTCATTGAGCGCAATTTCATTCCTCTGATTGCAAAAACATGGGAACCAAAAAATTATTAAATCCACATATTAAGGTGCATTTGTCATGCACCGTCCAATTTTGGAAAATTTTACTTGTAAATGCTTTATTATTAATTTTAAAAGTGCAAATACTATCATTTACTTCTGCTTCAAAATACTAAAAAGATAAAGATTTTCACAACTTAACCGATAAAATTGTTTTTGCACAAATTTCATGAAATTTATTTCACAAGAACAGAACATGTTATATCTTTCAAACGTAAATAATACAATACAATGGCGAAAACAGGAATTAGTACACTGAGAAGTGTGAAATATATACAAAATAAATGGTATGAGATACTGAAAAATGAGACAATCTATAAACAGAAACTAGTCTTCATTTACAATTGTTCAAAGAAGTCTCGCTGATAAGTGCTTTTTAATAATTTCGTTTAGATCTGAAGATTTGGTCACGAGCTTCTTTGCGTTTGACAAGCATTTCCTGGCGTTTCTGATTTCTAAAACACAACAAATATATAAAACCGAGAGTAATTTCCTGTGCAAAATACTTGATACTTTTTAGAAATGATAACAATATTTTATTGCAAATTTTTACAAAGAACAGTTCTCATCAAAAAAAATAATGCAGGACAATTAAAACATACCTAGTGACCGCAGTAAATGATTGAATATCGCCACGCCTTTTGGCCTCATAAAATTGGTTATCGGTCATTGCTGTAGTGTCTACGTATGGCAAAACTCGACCACGACGTGGCAAATATCGACGTCCACACTTAACCAATGCTTTTTTTTCACTTTCCGTCAGCGAAACTGAATAAAAGTGAAACAAACACAATACAAAAATTAGAACTTTATTATCCTCCGCCAATTAGCAAAAAAATATTACCCTCTGGAGTTTTCCCCTTAGGTGTAGCCAGTCTTTTCAGTCGCGCAGTTAGCTGAGGCGTAACAGCAGACTTAGCTTCAACTAATTTGACAAACCTTGGAGATCGTCGGACTTGTTTGGTAATAAACTTTTTGGAAAGTTCTTTCACACCAATCTGTAAAAATAATTTCTTATCCCCCTTCTACCATTCTCATCTATGAAACAACTTTTACACTTATACATTTTACATACTACTCATTAGAGTCCCAAAAATTTTTACTTGACAAAATCACATCAGATTTATATCTAGGTTACACAAAAGTCTCATATAAAAATAACTTACTCGTCTTTCCCTCATAACTCGAGTTTGCGAACTAACTTTGGTACAATTTTGCAAATCTACAGGAGCATTTTTTATTCTATCAAGTTTCGGAAATGAATAATTTATTTTTAATGGGTCTTCACCGACATTTTTGAATCTGTATCTGAAAAGTATCAATTCAATACTTTTTTTTCGAAACTCTCAAAATATCTGGAAACAAATGAACACAAATCACAAATTACAATTTAGACAGAAGCTTGATTTATATTTGACATTTTCATTTACTAAAACTTTCAAAAATACTTTAAGTTCCTTAACTGATTGGAATCTTCTCTAAACCAGTAATTTTTTGTCACAGATACTTTTTTTAAACTCTCAGCAGTGACAAGTCTCAAACTAATACTACACTTTAGCAATTTATTTGGTAACAGAAGTTCACTACTGAATTGTTAGCATTTATTAAATTAGTCATTAACTGATTTAAAACAAAAATCATTTCGCAGCGAATTATTGTTACTAGTTAACTTACCCAGGACTTCGCGCTTTTATTATTACTTTCGACTCTGGTTTTTTCGATGTTGCCAGCCTCTAAATAAACAAAAAATGTTACACATAGAAAAATCTTGCATGCTTAATTTAGAAACTCACACAAATATTACGTAAATGATTTGAAAAATAACTCTACTTTTATGCTTGAACTTGTTTACAACGTATTTCTCAATATTTTCAACAATTCGAGTACAAGGAATAAATAAAAGATGAAGTTTCTAGTTAGAGTAGTGAAATCGTTATCTTTATTGCAAACGACTTTAACTGCACAATTCTACATAAAATTTACGAAATAAATAAGATGTTTCTATAAACAATATTACTGGAACAAATAAGATGTTTTTATAAACAAAATTACTATCAAATATCTTATACGGCGATCATATAAATAAGCATCAATAATAATATGAAACTGCCTTCAGATTTTTGAAGTTAATTTGTTTTTCCAGTTGTTTATAGACAAACCTTGAAAATTTCAGGAACTGCTTTTTCATGTTCCACGAACTTTCGCTTAACCTTCGCATCTGATTCTTGCAAAGTAGGCTGTTTTTCAATCAATTTTTGATGAAGTGCGGCAAATCGTGCAACAACTAAATTTCAGGTATGTAGTAATAACAACTTACTTGTCATTTCAGCAGTTCACATATGTGTTCTCATAATTAAGGCTGAAATTACAAGATTTTAAAATTAAACACATTATTTAGTTACAAAAGAGCAATGAAAAAATACAGTTTTAAAGAAGCAATAACTATTACTAGATGTCGCAGGTTTAAATGGCATAGACGTGTCATTATTACGTGATCCTTCTTTATCACAATTGACAATAGAATTGCTTTTTGATTCCGAAGTATTTTCGTAGCTATTTTGCTGAGAGTTTTCCCCCAAAATCTTATTTTTGTCTGCAAAAATCAGACTATAATAGTTATGGGCACTGCTTTACAAGAAAAAAATTTTTTGGGAAGAAAATTTTAAACAAAGAATTAAGGAAACAAAGCACAGTTATTGAACAGAAAAACAAGCAGAATTATTATAACCTGATGGATTTATGATGCACGACTTTATGACATTATTGTATTCTTCCACATGAGACATATGACTAGATGTAACATTCAACAAATTATCCGAAGTATCGTCGTAGCTATTTCGCTTAGAGTTTTCCACCAAAATCTTATTTTTGTCTGCAAAAATCAGACTATAATATGGGCACTGCTTTATAAGAAAAAAATTTTTTGGGAAGAAAATTTTAAACAAAGAATTAAGGAAGTAAAGCAAGTTACTGAACAGAAAAACAAAAAGAATTATTATAACCTGATGAATTTATGATGCACGACTTCAGGACATTATTATACTTTTCAGCATGAAACACATGACTAGATGTAACATTCAACAAATTATCACGAGGTTGCGATGAAACCTTCTAAAATATAATGAAATTGGATTATCGAAATACCTGAAGCAAAAATGCGATAATAGTTCGCAGAAGGCATAAATTAACCTTAGTGTCGATAGAATTATTTGAATTAGTATTTTCTTTACTGAGGTCACGACTTTCCAAAGAGTTTTTCGAGTTAATATTTTCTTTACTGAGGTCACGACTTTCCAAAGAGTTTTTCGAATCAATATTTTCTTTATTGAGGTCACGACATTCAAAAGCTTTTAATAATTCCTTTATTAGCACTTCTTTCTAAAAATATGTAAACACCAAAATAGTTAAACGCCTTAATTATTCTGAAAAGTAAACATGCATTAAAAATCGAGTTTTTTAAAGATCTATACAACATGAAGATAACATAACAAATATCTGAACAACTGAATTTTTTAAATAGTCCGCTGAAAAACAAAGAAACCTTCTGATTAGCTTTGATTGAGTACTGCTTTGCAATTGTTCTTAGCTGCGTATATTTCAATGCAGCAAGATGATTGGAAATGTCTCCTTCCAAATTTATTAACTTGTCTTGCATATGATACTGGAATATTATTCATAATTTATGAATATGTTTGAAACACAATAATCACTACTGCAAACATTCATAGTTATCAATGATCAATTTTACGATTACTGCAAATACTTATGATCATTAATAACAAAAACTTGAGACCCTTAAGAATTACTTATGATTATCTGTGATGGAACAGAATACTTATAATAAGAATCTCTGTAACACATTACAAATCAAAACCATATAAAAAGAAAAAAGATAAACACATATTTCTGTAGGAAAGAAAAGAAAAGATCGAATAAAAAGAAGAAAAAGTAAGAGACATAAGATAATGAGAAGGATAAAAGCAAAACGACCTGAAAGGACTAATAAATACTTTCGTTACAAATTTCGCTCGCTAATGCGGTTGAGTTGCTAAATTGCGATCAATTGATTAACATAAGAAGCTATTATGTCATTTATGACTGTGCTCAAATTTGATGTTCAGTAACAGATAGTATTAAATCAGTGAATGAGATGAAAGTAATATAAGGCTTTTTCAATACAGTTGATTACTTTTTGCATAGAATTATTTTTTGCTATGAACAGTACGAAAATTTTTATAAATAATAAGTGATTTGCTTATTTAAACTTTTTGTGTAGAAGAAAATGATTTCAAAAAGCTTTACATTTATAATGGCATGTTAGCAATTAAAGGTAATGGATACAAATGCAAGCAGTTCATTTCGTTGGATTCACACTGATCCATTATCTGCTCTGTGGAATTCAGCAGATTATTTGCCTATAAATGAAGTTACAATAGGTGCTGATCATAAAACTGTTATTATATTGGATCATTCTCCTCATTTTGCGACTAATTCAAATTTTGTATGATTTTCTCTCTTTATTATAGTTCATTAACGTTTTATTCTTGTGAATTAGTAATTTATTTTTTTCTGTTTTCAACTTTTCATTAAAATAAATTCACAAACTATTCTTAAAAAAATTGTGTAGTTTTGTAATATCATTTGAAATATTTTTTTAAAGTCATTTAATGTAATTTTAGCATTACTTATAGAAAATCGATTTACCTGTAAAAGATTCGAGCACCGGACAAATGCGTGTAATTAACCAAGTAGAAAAGACCTTGTGGACTTGTGCTGTAGAATCAGCTCTTGAATTCCATAGAATAGTGGACGAAATATATCCAGATGGCATGCGGCTGATGCGCTTTGTTGTTTCTGATTTTGTTGGTCGATTTCTTACCACGAATTGGTGCACTAAGCTTATCTCGGCAGATCAGGTAGAATATTTTGGTGTAAGTTGTCCTATAGGCAATCAAAGATTGCATATATTATTTTGTAAAAATATCTTTCGTTTCTCACTTTCATGTTTTTCAGTTATTAAAGTCATTCGCATCATGTGGTGTTCCTGATGCAAAAGCAGATTTATCGTCGTGCTCAATAATTAATGGCATTTCGATAGCTGTTGAAGCAATCAGTGAACTGACAGAATTACAAAAAAAGCAGTCAACATTAAATTGTGGTTCCAAAGGTGATAAATATGGTAATCGTCATGAAAGGAATTCAGATCAACTTAATGATAAAGAACTGGGTAGTATAGAAAGTTCTCTCAATGGTCTTGGTGATAACAAAAAACGGAATTTGAGATGTGAAAGACTTGCTGTATGGTTTATGAATTAATTTTTTTTCCCTTTTTTGTTAATGTGAAAATTCACGTAATTACGAACGTGTAGAAATGTGAGATTCGTTTTTCCATAATACTTCTATTTTCCAAAATAAACATAAAATTGAAAATGATTTTTCGCTGTAGGAACGTATGAAAAAGCTGTTACCGAAAATGAAACAAGCTACAAGCGAAATTCATGCGTTAACTGCCGAAAGTGATGTTAGAAAAACATTGCCAAATATGGGCTCAATTGTTGTATTTACATCACTTAAAAGGTTTCTTAACTTCAGGCTTTCAAGTTGGAGATCTGGTACCTATCAAAAAGTGAATATCCTTAGACATTAAGAGCCTATTTGCATTATATTCCATTGTTCACACTTATTTTTTTTAGTGATGAAGACATTGCAGTGTTGATGAAGCACATTACGGAAGATATCATCAGTCGCAATAAAATTGTAAAAGCTTTGGATGGAGACAAAAAGTACCATTAGAAATATCCAAAAATGTTTTTATTTTATAGCTTACTCAGACATGAAATATAGAGGATAATGATTGATGCAAAAATTTTAGTGTTGTCATGTTTTAGTTTCGCTCCAATCACACATATTCAAGTGTATTTTATAATTATGTATCCTGTGATGGATGGAAACAAGGATAAAATCGATCTCCCTACCACGAAACCTCTTACTAAGGTCCATAATCATAATAAAACAGTTTCTTATTTTAATTTTAGAAAGGAAAGAAATATCTCATATTTTGAGAAGAATGTCAGTTTTGTGATCAACTTGATCCCACTGCTTTTTAATATGCTTTTTATTGCAGAAAATATTAACAAAAGCTAGTTTGTTTGCTTGATTACGGCAAATAACTGAGGTTTAAATGGTCTTACTCAATATGTTTTCTTGATTTTTGATACTAAGGTATATTATTTTTAGGTAAACGAATTTGTTTCATGCAGTGTTGTTTGCGCTGAAGCTGGTTCGTTCTTGCGACCTACTTTGCATGGTGTTATTTTGAAACATTTTGACTTGGCTTCGACGACTGTGACCAGCATTCCAATGAAAGTTACTATTTAAACAATTTATGCATCAGCTAAAGTTGGAATTTAGACAAGTGTTTCATTTTTGCTTTCAGGAAGAGGCACAACAAGGACAGTCTGTGAACTATGATGTAGAAGTATTTCATCCTCGTCGAAGTCATTATTTGTTACAAAAACTTGGATTAATTGGTTCAGGTTCTAAATTACAAGTGACCGTGAACTCTGGTAATTATAAGACCGTTAGACTAGCTTGGACAACTCCATCTGCAAAAAATCGGTGGAATCAGGTTTGTTTTTTTTTTGCCATTGTTATGACGAGGTTATCAGATATGTCAATGAAATTCTATTGCCCAAGGAAAACAAATAAAAGCTTTTTCAGTTTCCTCGTTGTATATCTGCTCTTCCCATCTCACCAGCAAGCGTAAATAGCCGACCATCTGTATGCCTTACTTCATTTCTTCTTAGTGGCAGGAATGTCATGCTTGAGGTGATGTTTATGTGCAGATATTATTTTATATAAAAGTAAGGAAAAAAATTGACCGAAGTACATTACTTCAAGTATAAAAATTTTTATTGTCATTTTTGATCAAAAAACAATTACTGTTTATGATTGAAATCTATAATTATCATGATCGCTCTGAAATATTGTCCAACGAATTTAGGTAAAACAAAATACTCAGTTACCTCGGGATGTCGCGCCTAATTTCAATCAAAAGCTCATTTCACATCTATTAGTATGCCATTCAGGAAGAATTTATATCCACACAATACATATTGGACATCATCGTAAGACTTTTTGCATAATTTCGATCTCTTACACAAATTACATCTTGTTTGCATTTTCTTCTCTTGCAGCAATTCTTGATGAAAAAAGGTTCCTGGCGAATTCAGTACTTCCCAAACCAGTCAAGCAACTTCGTGTTTCTGATTTAATCACTTTAATGAAAGAGACACGTCTTACCGTTGTGAAGCAAGAAGGTATCTGGATAATCTCAGTTTTTTTCTATCAGCTGTTGAATTTTCATCCTCGACATCCGAAGAGAAATTTTGACTTTTTGACTTCAGTTTAAAAAATTTTCGTTTTATAAAATATGTGTTTTTTAGTAGTTTCTCCATCTTCCTCAAATAATTCGAAAGAGTTTAATGAGCAAGCTCGTAAGCAGTTGCGAAGACTTACTCGTTACTGGCCTTTAAAGTTAAATGACGCTTTCATTTATAACATACCAGGGGTATGAATTTCAACGTTTTTATTTCTTAAAATCGTTTTTGGAAGACAATGAATTTCGTAATGATTTTCGTCATTAAAAGGTTTTGATTTGTACCTTACGTACTTTTCAGAAATTTGACCCGCTTCTAATGTTAATGCGACATAGTGAGCTTTCGACGAGTGATGTTAATAGATGTAGAGAATGTATATGTGCACTGATGGTTTATAAGGAGTCAAAAGAACCATTAACTTCAAAAAGTGTAGACTGCATAAAGTTTAAGAATCCCCTTAGTAGGTAATCAACTTGGAAATTGAATGACTTCATATTATCGTATTAGTAGTACTCCATATATGTAGCAGAAAGAGTAAGCTCTTTTTTTTTTTGTTTTTGTTTTTGTTTGGATTAAAATATCTAATTACTATTATTTAAGGGAAGAGCAGTTTCAATATGCTTGTGAAGAGCTTCTTAATCACTTACGCAACTATGTAAATCATTCAGAAAGGCATCTTGAAGTCTACAACATGTTTTTACAAGTTCATATTCTACTTTGTTTTGATTAGTCCAGTTTTGACCAAATCTCTGATAAAACGATAATTAACTTTCATTATTGAAAATGAAGTTTTCTCTAAAATATTAATTATTCCGTGCACATTTATCAACTCCTCATAATTTTAGATTTCGGGTCTTGATCGTGGGACTCACCTTTCAGTCCAAGATGTATCACTTTCTAAAAATGGGTGAAATTTTCTGTAAAAAATTTAAACAGTTAAGCTGTAGTTAAAAAGAGCTTTGTGACTTCTGTAAGGATTAATTGTTTTGGTTTAATAGTGTTAAACAGTTTTTTAAGATCAACTGCAAGCTTTTCATCAGTACCCGCTCGAGGAAGTCATTCACCGGTGGATATAATGCAGTCTGAAATGTCACCAGTAATAAAGAAACCACGGAAATTTCTACACTCCTGGGGAGTAAACGGTACTGTCATTTACTTAAAGTTATAAACAAACATTCAGAGAGTTAAATCAAAAATTTTTAGAAAGGCTTAATCTTCATGATTATTATTTGGAACGATATCAAAAAAGACATTGGATGAAATGGAAAGATTTTCCTGGTCGTATTAAAGCTGGCAATAAACCTGCTATACTATATCCAAATTTGGACCTTGGAAAAGCATCTGGTGGTGATGAAGCTGTCTGACCAATTCATCATACCGTTCATTGTACTCCGAGTATTTTGCATTTCAGTTTTCAAAATTCGATTTGTAATGATAGTTTGAAAACATATTGAACTTCTGTTTTGTTCACGTACTTTATTTGTTAATATTTGTTAATAGTTTTGTGATTTCAAAAGTTGAAAAGTGAAATAAATTGATAATGGCAATGTCTAAAAAAGCAAAGAGGCAATGAAGGAAATGAAAAGCAGTATCTTCGACTTGGGATGCTAAGCTTCTAACTGCTTTTAATTTAAAGAAATAATAATTCAATTACGATGATCATATTCCTAAGAAATGTACAGGGCAATTTCTTCCATTCTCGATTCCACACTTGCCACACAAAGTTACCAGATCATTGCAATAAAGCTCTTTCTGGCATGTGACAGATGTGGATAACTGAATAAGTGCTTGAGTATTGCCTTCACAGAGAACAGAAGTGAAAGAATCAATGGGAAGGGTATTCGGTCCTAAGGCCTATTTCCATGCCAAGACTAAAGCCTATTGATTCTGCCTGAGCAGATGAGTGCCATCGTCTGAGTAAGACTTCCTACTGCTATTTTAGAAAATGCAAAAGGCTGAAGAAAATTTTACAATTTCATCCTTTTTATCATCAATCTTTCATCTCAAACGTTGTAATTAGTAATTAATTAACTATCTATTCATAAAAAATACTATGATTATTGCTCGTGTTTTGATATGTATACAGTAAGCAGCTGCATAATTTGACTTCTTGTGAAAACCATTGTATTGTATGGATAACAGATTTTTATTCTTTTTCCCGTAGTCCATTACTCAAATCTTGAAGATAAAGTCAAAAATATGCTACTGTAATTCAGTGCAGCAAGCAGCTTTGAGAGCAAAGATAACACTGAATACAAAAAATATAGGAAAGTTTATTCAGGCAGTGATAAAAGTAAATATATTGCTTATTTATTCATTATTTTTATTAAGATAAATTTTGCTTATTTGGATCATTTCATTTTATTAAATGCCAACTTTATGCTTGATCTAATTTGAAACAAACTTTCTGATTGATTTGAAGTAGTTTTATTGAGTTAATTTTATACTTTACTTGACCTCTGCACTGGACGAATTTTAATCTAATTATGTCATATTTAATAATTTATCTATCATTTCAATCATTAAAAGTTATGATATTTCCGATTACTTTGAATTGTTTTGAGTATACTTCTAAGCAACGTAAGTACATAATGTCATTTGATGCAATAGTTTCATAAAATTATAAAAATTATTACTTTTTGTTTTTTTAAAATACAAAAATAATAAACTTGTCAATCGATTTTGTATTCTATTTTTTGATTTTCAACTAAATTATTAACATTAGTTCACGTGTAAAAAACTTATTACTCAATTTCTCCTTTCAAAAAATCAACTTTACACGTTATTTACAATCTTATATAATCTCTTGTAAGAAAATGCTTGTTTATTAACATTTTTTGCATCATTACTATCCATTTATCTTACTTATTCATAATTTTAAATTATTTTAGTGAATGACTGAGTCTAAAACTGTTTAATCTGACGGCTGCGAAATCGCATGATCGACAATTTTGATTCTAGCCAAGAAGTGCTACTTTCAACTGTGGATGTTCAAGAAGAACGTCGCAAGTTTGTTTTTAAATTAAATTAAAGGTATAATCCTTCTTTTCGTAATAACTGATATAATTTTCAATCATTTTTGACAATGAACTTTATACTTTTCAGTCATTTTGGAAAATGTTATCATTTTTGGTAATGAACTTTGACCTAGGATATAAATTCTGTAATATTTGCTAAAAGTTCATTTTTGAAATGTTAAATGTCATAGTTTTTGTTTGGCCAATAAAACTTGTTGCTATTATTGGACTTAATAATAAAAGTAGCCATAGAAATAATGAAAATAATAAGCAATAATGGTGAGAGTAAAGTAATAATGCCTATTTCATGAAAATTTTGCATCTTAAATTCATTTGGGCATATTTATTTTTATTTTATTTGCTAAGAATATTTACTGCAATACAATTCTGAAAAGTTACTTGCTTGTTTCAAAAATGCGTTTTACGTCTTTGTTATTTATGTCACAATTTTCCGTAAAATGAGCTTATTTGCATGAAAATTATTGTTACTTTGAAAAATACCTTATAAAGAAATATATTTTAATACGCAATATTTTTTTTTGATATCAGAGCACGCAAATTTATTTTCAATTTTAATTATGCAGAGTTGATATTTTCATGAGTACATGAATATTAAACAATTATTATTTTAAATTATTGTAGGGTAAATTGTTCGTTTTACGTGAAGATTGGCGCATGCCGACATGGTGATAAATGTTCGAGACTTCATACACGGCCAACTTGTAGTAAGGTAATAGTGTTGTGAAGTCAAACAAAGACTCATCAAAATATCATTATTAGAAATGATCATTTAATATTTTTCATGCAGATTCTTACTAAAAATTGAATTTTTATACGTAACTAGCTTAATCTTGCAATTATTCTTTTTTTCAGACAATTTTGTTAAAAAATCTTTACAATTTTGCTGGCACTTTTCGACAAGGTATGTATATCAAAACCTGAATATTAATTTCATACGCATTTTGCTTCATTACTACACAAAAATAAATGCTCACTGAAAAGATCAACGAAAAAAAAATTAGTTTAGTTTAGACAATAACAGAAATGTGTAAAAAAATGTAAGAACTGACAATGATAAATACCAAGTATTCACTGATAGAAAAGGAGTAAAAAAATTAATAAAAAGTGAAAAAAATTTAAAATTTAAGGTAATATATACAAAATAGACAAATTAATATTCATTTACTTTTTTAAAAATTTGTTTTAGTTTATTTTATAGACATATTTTCATAAATTAGTTTTACTTTCAAAAATATGCAAATTTTATTTTCATATTTTTGATACTCTAATTAATTTGTGATTTATTAACTTATTTTGAATTATATGTCTATTTGTTTATTCTATTTAAAAAATTGTATAAATTGTATTTGTTTAAAATTTTTAGATATTTCTAAAGAAAGAGAACAACTTGAATTTGACGAATTTTTTCGTGAGGTTTACATGGAAATCTATAACGAATACGGAGAAATTGAAGTAATGAATGTATGTGATAACGCAGGTGAACATATGCTTGGCAATGTTTATGTTAAAGTAAGTTAAATAAATGTCAAGGACAAATATTATTAAGACAGTAAATAAGTACACAAATTAAAAATTTTATATCATGAAGTAATAAAGGATTAAGTAAATGTTTTAATTTACTAATTGGATATTAAATATACAAATACTTTTGATATATTTCAAGTAATAAATAATTTCATTTGTTAATTTTATAAATGGAAATTAATTTATTCAGTTTCTATATACAAAATTAAATAAAATGTTATCAATCATAAATTAAATGTGAAAAAAAAAAGTTATAATAGCAATAAGAAATGACAATATAATAGCGTTAATAAGATTGTATACTTGTAAATAAAAATGAGTACTGAATTTAATTTGAATTTTTAATTCAGTTTCTACACGAGTCAAGCGCAAATAATGCAGTAGAAAGTTTAAATAATCGATGGTTTGATGGTAAGCCAATTCATTGTGAACTTTCACCAGTTTACGATTTTCGTGATGCCTGCTGTCGACAATATGAAAATGGGTCATATTTTTGTATAATTATTTATTCAAAATAAAAATTTATGTAAATTATTTGCAATGGTATGCAATGGAATGTATAAATTGCAGGGAGTGTAGCCGTGGTGGTTTCTGTAATTTTATGCATCTTAAAAAAGTTAGCACATCATTGAAACGTAAATTGGACAAAGAAACTGGCAAATCTCAACGAAAAAAAACAGAAAAAAAATATCAAAAAATAAACGAAAATAGTAGTAAAAAAAATGATCAAGTATTACCGAAGAAATACCAAAATCAATCAAGGTTTAATCACTAATATATTGTGGTTTTTACTATATAAATTATAATTATATTTAATTTTGATTCCATCAAAAAGTCATCTATCTAATTATTTTAAAAAATTCTATTTTATCATTGAGTTTTTCATTTAAAAATTACAAAATTATATTATTATTATTATTATTATTAATTTTAATATGATTCGTTTCAGTAGTGAAGAATCATCTTGGTCCGATTGCGGTCCATCGTCATCATTTAGAAATGATCGTTCCTCAACACCATTTGCATTCCGAGCTGATCGTTATGCATCTGATGTCAGTGAATCTGATTCAGAAATAGATCCCGAATTCGAGGCCCATAAACAGTTTATGTAAATATTTGGACTGTAAATAGATTGTAAAATAAATTCAAGAATACAGTTATAAATAAATTAATAAATTAATAATAAGCACAATTTCAACCAATATTAAATAATATCAGTGCCAAACATTTTAATTATATCTTGTTAATATTAAAAATATATGTAAATTTTGAATTAATACTATGTAAAAGTAAATTTAGAAAATAACATTCAGAAAGCAAAAATTAATACTAGTGATAGCACATTTATATTGCCAAAAATTTTTTCTTGTAATAATCGTATTCAGAGTAAACAGTTTTATATGTAATTGAAAGAAATATTATTATTATTTTTGTAAATTAAGAATATTTTAGACGAAGACAAAGATGGGAAGAATTACGTAGTAAATTTGAAATGCAACAGAATTGGGATGAAGATCGAGAGCGGAAATTTGTGTTCTCTTTATTGTAAAGGAGATATAAATATAAAAATTTCAGATTCTAAAATTAATTTTAAAATTATTGTAAAATATTTTAATTAGAACAAAGATTAATGACTTATTTGGTAATATTCACTTAAATTTGTGACGGTAATTGTACTAATATATTTTGTATATCACTTGGTTTAATGATCATCGATGTAATTTTTAATTTGTGAAGAAAGGTGATTAGTGATACCAAGTGATGTTAATGTGTAATGAATGTATAAATTGAATTTGTGGCTCGTTTGGTACTTGGATACAAATTTTTCGTTAATAATGAAGAACTTATATCATTGCAGTTATCAGTAATAAAAATATGGACTTGCGTTTTGAACAATTAAGTTTTAAAACAATCAAAAACATATATTACTTTTATTTTGTAATAATTGAATTCTTAAAGTTTTCACTGCAAAAATTTTTTTAATTTAATTGAAAGTATGTACAAGTAATAGATTACTAATTAATATAAATTCAAAAAATGGAAATATAAAAGTTTTGCAGTATTATTATTTATAGATTAATATTAGTATTATTATTTATAGATTATTTGTTGAAAATTTTAATCAAAGTATAGATTTAATAGCATATTAATGGTATTATTAATTTTACTGGAATTAGTGATGCTATTCTATTCTTCATGGCATGTTTGTTTATTCTACTTTATTTGCTTCTGTAGTAAATAATAATACTAGCAATTTCAATAAACAGACATCGGAATTCTTATCAAATATTTGTCGTCTATATGCTCAATTTGAAACCACGAAGAATTTGTTCATTAATAAATTTCAGAACAAATTAGCTAATATTTGACAATAATGATGAATTATGCGATAAAATTATGTATATAAATAATAATAAACTTGTTGATTGCATATAAAAATTACAAAAAATAAAAAAATTTAAGCAACGAATAAGCACAAAATATTACTGAATGCATAGATTATGCAAATGAAATTAATTATTAAATGCTAATTAAAGCAGCAAAATTTTCAAAAATTTCTGTCACGTATGAGTGAAGAATTAAGAACGAGTTTGTTAAAAGGGGACAAATTGAGAGAATAATTTAATTTTTTCTCCCATTTTCTTTGCTGATCATTTCACAGCAAAATATTCAACAAAAACCGAAGAATCATAGTGGTTGATTACATCGTCATCGATTATTGTTTCAATATTTTCGATATATTATATTAATTTCAATTTTTAAAAATAAATAAAATGTGGACGTTAGTTTTAATTCTCGCTCTTCATTGGTTCTGGCGCTGGATCGCATCTCGGCACTCTGGCAATGCTTGTCCCACGCTTAGATTTGTTGTACTCATCGTTCACGCTTCGTCCGCGTGGAATCCATATCGACTGTCGAAGGGGAGATGCTTTCGAGCGTCTTCTTGAAAACTATCGATTCAATTTTTAATACAATTCAATTTTATATTATTTTTTTGCATTATTTTGTTCACATTATTTTATTGCTATATATTTTTTATTTACTTTTAAATTTAACTACAAATATTGATCTGATCAAGCATTAATACAATTTAGAAAGAGAAATCTGTAATACAGAAACTGATTTTATGATCGCTGCTGTAAGTAAAATAATCCTTTAATTCATCTCTGATGTGCGAACCTTTTTGTATCAATTTATTAATTAAATTTTTTGTCTTTTATTTTTTTATTCAATTAATAAGTCTATAATCTCACTTACTTATTAGTATTTGATGAATAATCTTGTAGATATCGAGAATTCAAATTGCACTTAATAAGTTTATAAGTTAGAATTTAATGATAAAAATTGTAAAGTGCCAGTTCAACTCACTTATAAATTTCAAAACAAATATTATTCAGTTTCAAATTGGCACCATTTTTGAAGCAAATTTTTTCCAAAGTCTTACTGAAATATGTAATCGAAGAAATTTACAACCTTTTATAATTTGATTTCTTGCAAGTACCATTCAATCCTTTTTTCGATTACAATTATTGTATACAGTATAACTGTTAGAATTC